TTTTTTTTTTGCAACAGGGTCTTGCTCTGTCACCCAGGTTAGGGTATAGTGGTGTGAACATGGATCATTGCAGCCTCGACTTCCTAGGTCCAAGGGATCTTCCTGACTCAGCCCCCTATGTAGCTGGGACCACAAGTGTGCATCTCCACATCTAGTTAATTTTCTAATTTTTTGTAGAGATGAGGTCTCAGTATCTTGCCTAGGCTAGTCTTGAACTCCTAGACTCAAGCAATCCTCCCACCTTAGCCTCCCAAAGTGCTGGGATTACAGGCATAAACCACTGTGCCCAGCCCTGACATTTTTAAATGGCATGTGATTCTAAGGCCTCAGAATTTAGGAATGTGCTGAATCTCCTTTTATTTCATAGCAATATTCAAAAGGAATCTGACCTCCTTTTTACCAGGATAATTGATTAGGTCATGAGGGCCATACCTAGAGTGTCCTTTTTGAAAATAATTCTAATTTAATCAGTTATGATAAGCCTGTTATTAGAAAACAAGTTGACTATATGTAGAATCAATGCTTACAAAGCTGTCTCAATAACACTGGCAAAGTGCCTGGCTTAAATGTTTGTCTTGTCAGTGGTAAGGAAGAGCAATGCTCAGCAGGTCAGGAACCCTAGCAAATTTTGAAGATGTTAAGGAGAGAGATTCACCCAAGTTCTTAGGTACTACAGGAGAAATCTAGTAGAGAGCTTCTTGGATTTGGTTCCCCAGCCTTGGGATATCAAGCTATGGAGGCTTTTAAAAGTTCAATTTGAGGTTTCTGATGAAAAATTTCAGACAGAAGTTAATCCTGTGGCCTTAGTAATTTGTTCAGTACTGTATGGTTCTGGATTTTCAAAGTAAATTTGAGGAGATCTACGTGACTAATGAACACTCTTGCTGTACCTAGGCAAATAATCCAGATAAACCTAATGAAATTTGCTTTTTACTGATCAGGAATACTTGTGGCAAATTCCTTTTGATGAAAAGGAAGAGACTGTTAAGAAACACTGTCAAAGCCTTGAAGAAAAAGGATACAATAAATTATTGGGTATCCCTTTAGTGGTGTGCTAGGTATTATCTAATGGATCCTCTGCATATTATCTGATGGGCTATGTACCATTGTCTCTTTATTGGATAGACTGTTATACAATTGTAAATGTAGATGTTAAATTGTAAAAAAAAATAGAAAGTAATGCAACTGAACCTGAACTACAACTAATTTCTGCTCTGTAAAAAAGATGGTCCCATTAGGTTTTATTGCCCTATACCAGTGGTCCCCAACCTTTTTGGCACCAGGGACTGGTTTTGTGGAAGATAATTTTTCCACAGACTCAGAAGGTGGCGGGGGGGAGGGGGGGAGATGGTTTGGGGATAAAAATGTTCTCAGATCATTAGGCATTAGATTCTCATAGAAGCACGAAACCTAGATCCCTCATGTGTGCAGTTCACAATAGGGTTCGTGCTCCTATGAGAATCTAATGTTGCCACTGATTTGACAGGAGATGGAGCTCAGGCAGTAATGCTCACTCGCCTAACACTCACCTCCTGCTGTGCAACACAGTTCCTAATGGCCCAGAGACTGCTACTGGTTTGTGGCCTGGGAGTTGGGGACCCCTGCCCTACAGGATATGGTTAATCTACTAGCAAATTCTTTTTTTTTTTAGACGGAGTTTTGCTCTTGTTGCCCAGGCTGGAGTGCAATGGCACAATCTCAGCTCACCACAACCTCCGCCTCCCAGGTTCAAGTGATTCTCCTGTCTCAGCCTCCCGAGTAGCCGGGATTGCAGGCATGCACCACCATGCCCAGCTAATTTTGTATTTTTAGTAGAGACAGGGTTTCTCCATGTTGGTCAGGCTGGTCTTGAACTCCCCATCTCAGGTGATCCGCCCACCTCAGCCTCCCAAAGTGCTGGAATTACAGGCATGAGCCACTGCACCCAGCCTAGCAAATTCTTTTAAGCATTTATTACTGCCTATTATCTGCTCTTCAAATTCTCCCTTATACCAGTTTTAACTTCGTACTAGTTCCCTTATCCATTGAGTTAAATATAGTCTTTCACATATTAAGAAAAAACACTGTTGCCAGTGGAATTTAATCTTTAATCTCCAAAGACCCTTTGTACTATTTGATAGTGTATTCAAATTAATGGCTGTAATTCTAGAAGTCATATCAATGATGATTTTTTTTTTTTAATCCAGAGGAATCACTGAATAATTCTTCTCCCTCTATGCAAATTGATGACTCTGGTAGATTCCTTAAACATTCATTAAAATTTGGTAAAACTACCAGATCACATGTAAAACTATGCTTTCTCTAGGAACCATCAATTCACTAATGGAGGCAGCTAACAGTCACGTTTGTAGTCCATGACTGTACCTACCCTCCTTCTTGTAATGGCCCTACTCAGCAAGCTTATAAATGTGGTGGTCAATCCAAAATAGAAATATGCTACAGTGAAGTCTGATTCTATCGTGGGATCAAAGAAGCAGAGACAGTTAGGCTATAGAGCAACAATGAATAAAATATGACAGAAGTGGAGAGTTAGCAAAAGACTACATATATTTCATGGATTCCTGAGGACTGACTATTCTGGTTTTAGTCTCTTCCTGAGACTGACTCCATTTCTGCCTTTCAGATCTATGAGTCATTTCCACATACTTAAAATACATATTTGCTTAAAGTAGCTTAAATTCATTTGTTACTTGTGACTAAAAAGGCTTAAATGGTACAGAATTACGTAAGTGCTTAATCTTTGTTAGCAAGGATACTGTAATCTCATCATAATGCTTTGGAGTACATTTATATCTTGTGTAGAAACCCCTCCCTCCCTCCCTCCCTCCTTCCCTCCCTTCTTTTGGAGTACATTTATATCTTGTGTAGAAACCTTTTCTTTTTCCTCCCTCCCTCCCTCTCTCCCTTCCTTCCTTCCTTTTTTGATGGAGTTTCACTCTTGTTGCCCAGGCTGGAGTGCAATGGCATGATCTCAGCTCACTGCAACCTCGGCCTCCCAGGTTCAAGTGATTCTTCTGCCTCAGCCTCCTAAGTAGCTGGAAGTACAGGTGCCCACCACCATGCCCAGCTAATTTTTTGTATTTTTAGTAGAGACGGGGTTTCACTATGTTGGTCAGGCTGGTCTCAAACTCCTGACCTTGTGCTCTGCCCACCTCAGCCTCCCAAAGTGCTGGCATTACAGGCATGAGCCATCACATCTGGCCCTTTTTTTCTTTTTAGACAGGGTCTCACTCTGTCACCCAGGATAAAGTATAAATGGTGCCATCACAGTTCACTGAAGCCTCAAATTCCTGGCCTCAGTGATCCTCCCACCTCAGCCTCCCAAAATGTTGGGATTATAGGCACGAGCCACTACGCCCAGCCCATGTCTAGAAGCTCTATGTTTAGAAATGGTTGCGCCTCTGTATTGCAAATTCAAATTTGCATTTGAAATATATACATTCTATTTAATTTCTCATTTCTACATAATAGCAATTAAGAATTCTCTAAATTCCCTTACCAATCTCAAGTTGTATCATTTAAATAAAATTTCATCACTGAGCATGAAGGAAATGTCATTTAAATATTTTATATTTGTAAAAGATTAGATTTTTATTTTGGTAATTCAGTGTGGTATAAGAAATGTTTGGTCTTTGTCCCCAGCTCCTGGCACAGAACTCCTAAAACCCTTGGAATTTCTTGAGTGCTTGGAGTATCTTCTGTTATTCCTTAGAAACCTTTTCAATCATACCTGAATTTGGCATATGAGATGATTTAGGTTGGGGATCCTAGATAATCTCAGGACGAATCTGGTCACCAGAAGGACTAAGTCATTAGAGGGTAATGTTATGGACTGAATTGTGTCCCTCCAAAATTTCTGTGTTGAAACTTCACACATTTGTGTGAAGTACAAATGTGAAATTTGTACTTGAAGATAGGATCTTTTAGGGAGTTAATTAAGGTCGCGAGCATAGGGCTCTAATCTCACAGGGCTAGTGTCCTTAGAAGAGGAGAAAAAGACACAGGAGCTCCCCCTAACCCAACCCTTCATGATGCACAGAGAAGAGGATATGTAAGGACACAGAAGGTGGTAGTCTATAAGACAGGAAGAGAGGCCTCACTAGAAACAACCCAAATGGCACCTTGATCTTGAAATTCTAGCTTCCAGAACTGTGAGAAAATAAATTTATTTAAGACACCAAGTCTCTAGTTTTGTTATGACAGCCCTAGGAGACTAATGCAGTTGGGAACTTCCAGCTTTCACCTTGGACCTCTAGGGAGAAGTGAAGGACTGGAGATTGAGCTTGATGGAAACTATTGAATGAGAGTTGGGGAGCTTCCAAGTTGAGGAATACAAAGACATGCAGGGAAGGTAATAAGATGGAAGAAGGCATGGAAGCTCTGCATCTCCCCTCTCCCTCCATACCTTTCCGTATGTACCTCTTCATTAATTGTTCCTAGTTGTACCCTTTATGATATAAACAAGTAAATGTAAGTAAAGTGTTTTCCTGAGTTCTGTGAGCTATTCTGGCAAATTATCAAATCTGAGGGCAGGGTCATGGGAATACTTGAATTTCCAGCCATGTTGGACAGAGTATGGGTAGCTTGGGGACTTAGGACTTGTGACTGGCCTCTGAAGTGAGGACAGTTTTATGGGATTGAGCCTAATTCAGCTGCATAGTGTCAGAACAGAATTAAAATGTAGGACACGGTTGATGTCAGAGAAATGGAGAATGAGATATGATGTCAGAAAGCACTCCATTTAGTATAACTTTAATAATACCAGTTTAGCAGTATTTGATATTGAGAATTAAAAACAAATATTGAATTCAGAGATTTGAGTTCTTATATTATTTCATATTTATATTTTCTGAGGTCTTTAAAAATATAATTAATAAAAAATGAACAGGTAACTTTATTCAATTCAAAATTAAAACTTGACTTTTTTTCATCATAGTAAATACACAAAATATAGACTATTACATGAAGTAATGAAATTTCCTGGAAAAAATACAGAAAGGTATGATAATAAGCACTGAACAATTTTATTAAGTTCTTAGCCAAAATGCAAACATATGAAATGAGATTGTGTACAATAGACCAAAGGCTACCTAGAGACCAACAGCCATATAAAAATAATTTAAGGCAAGCTTCATTGATTTATTTTAAATAAGGTAAGTGAAATATGGGTTCAGAATTAAGATTTTCAAGAAAGTTCTTGTAGCTGTAAATTAGGAGAATATGAATGTCAAAATTTTAACTGTTTCTGTGCCAAACTGAAAGCAAATGCTTTCCAAACTGCAGTAAAAAGAACTTTAATAATATCATTAAGTCTGCAAAGTCACTGACAAGTTGATAGTATTCAAATACTAAAATATTTTCTAAATGTAAATTTTGTAACATCTTGAATACTTTCTAAGCCCACTTTTCTGTCATTACAAAAATAAAATTCCAAGAAATTTCTGGGACATTAATCTTAAGAGATCAAAATAACAAAACATATGTACTTTTCTAAGTTAATGTAATTCAAGTAAAGTAGTACTAAAGAAAACACATCATTTTAATAAAAACCAAACCTGCTTAAGAGACATAACAGAGTAAAGCAAAAGTATAAACTACTAATAATAAGCAGTTGCTTAGATTTAATATAAGAGGATTTATTTTTATTTTCACTGGAAAAAACGTTAAAGCCCTTTCTCTTTTCTGGAGCTGAAACAGTGGATTGTGTTCTAGTTATTCAATGTTTCTACAGTAATTTTTTTAATTTTTATACTTGCCAATGTGTTCACGGGCTATAATAAGTCTTTGAATTTGTGAAGTACCTTCATAAATCTGCAAAAAAATATAAGTGTAGGTTAAATATCTTTAGTACATACTTTGATTTATTCAACATTTTAGATAGTAGTATAAGCTGCATTGTAATATAAAACTGAATCAAAACACATATAGGGTCTGTAGCTATAGATTCCAAAATCTGATTTTGTGAAAGTCTGAAAATATGGAATTCTCTGAAGATTGGTTTATTATAAAAAGTCATGTATCAAAATTTTGGAGAAAAGTATTCAAAACATAGAAAAAAGAAAATATATTTACATTTCAGAAAATTTGGGAAAACTGAAGTTCATTATGGCCAAAATATTTGTCCAACTTTTCTGAACTGTACTTAGCTAGCTGTCTCCTTAAGTCTTTTATTCTGAAATTTTTTTTTCTCCCACTGCCTATGGAACAGAGTTGCTAAAGAAAAAGATGCTGGGAGGATTTCAAGAGTCAGACCTTATTTCCATTCTAAACTTCTAACTTTAGCCATTCATTAGTTCAGCTTCTCAGATGGCAGAGAAAATCTAAACGGGTGATGATAGTAATAGTAATAATTATAATTAAAGGCTCTAGGAGAGGAAGAGTATCAACACATAAACCTGCGACTTTGGATAAGGCACAAATTCTGGACCTCAGTTTTTTCATGTCTACATGGAGAGGCCACACTATGTCTAACATTCCTTCTCACTCTAGCCTTCTGATTCGAACTCAATATTTCAGATGACCGGATGAGTCAAATAATTTGCTAGGTGTAGGGGGAGCAAGGGCAGAGACACCGAGGAGCAAGAATGTGATAATTATTAAGTAATTACTTAAGCCACATGTAGAGAACATGCACATTTATATTTCCTTTTACTAAATTCCTTCTAAGTTTTTTTGACTACTAATTTAATTTGGAATTCATCTACATCACTGTCTCCTCATGTTGGTTTTTGACTCCAAGTATAGTTACAATAAATTAAATAGTTGTCAGGCAAGATTCAAATCAAAATAATTAATTTTAAATGACACGCATACTTTTTGGAGAGAAAAGTTTGGGACACAATTAGCTAAGATGTTAAAACTCAAAGAAATCTAATCCAAACATAATATACATGTCTGCACCATTTGTTTTTTTAGCGTATTCTCTCTTCAGACTTATACTTAATCACAAATAACATTCTTCTTTCTATTAATTAATTCCAAAAACTGGCTCACAGCCATATATGACAGTCATTTATTGCTACTAGGGACATAAAATTTCTAAATAATCAGAAATCTACTTTGTCATTTATGAATATTCTCTCTCCCTTGCAAACCAAAAAAATCATCTTTAATCTTACCTGATAGATCTTGGCATCCCTCATTAGTTTTTCTACAGGATATTCTGTATTAAATCCATTGCCTCCAAATATCTGCACAGCATCAGTAGCTAACTGATTTGCAATATCTCCAGCAAATGCCTTTGCAATAGAAGCATAATAGGTATTTCGACGACCAGAATCAACCTCCCAAGCTGCTCTCTGGTAACTCATTCTAGCTAGTTCAACTTTCATTGCCATTTCAGCCAGCATAAATGATACCGCTTGGTGCTAGAATTAAAAAGAAAAAAGTTAAAGGATATTTATTGAGAAAAAGGTTTTTTCCTGGGGCTTTTTTATTTTTATAGTGACGAGGTCTTGCTATGTTGCCCAGGCTGGTCTGCAACTCCTAGCCTCAAGCAATCCTCCTACTTAGGCCTCCCAAAGTACTGAGATTATAGGTGTGAGTCACTGCGCCTGACCTTTCTTTTTTTTTTTTTTTAAAAAAAAAAAACAAAAAACAAAAAACCTTTTCATTAACTAATTTTAGGTTTATAGAAGTTACACCCAGCTTCCTCTAATGTTAACATATTACCAAACCATAGTGCCATGATTGAGAACAGGACATTAACACTGGTATAGTATTAACTAAACTATAAGCCTTACTCAAATCTGGTCAAGTTTTCTAACATTCTTTTTCTTTTCACCATTACACATTGAATTTAGTTATTTCTTCTGAAA